CTGTTTTATACAAACGACTTCCAGTTTTTTTTTTTTTTGTTGGTGTCTCAGATCCTCATACATTTATTCTACATAAATAAAAAGCAAAATAAGAGAACAAAGTAAAAACATTTGAATAATTTATATTTCAATCGCAAAACATGGTTGTTTCAGTTTTTTTTTACTCCCTTTATATTAAAATACCGTTATGAGTAGTTGTAGGATTAATGTATATGTATGTGAGAGTATATGATTAAATGCGAACAGGATTACAACTTTACCTTACCAAACTGTATTAGTATGTATGATTATGTAACGGTATGAAATAAATGTTTTTATGAATGAATGAGTGAGTATGTTAAGTAGAAAGTATGAAAATGTTTGTGTTTATAAGGGTAGTAGAAAGTGGGATTGTCTTGAAGGAAACTAAAGGGCCATTGAGGGAAGTTAAAAGTAAAGAGCAATTGCAGTATTTCATAACAGAGATTTCTTTAAGAAGAAACTGACAAATAGTAGTAGATTTACTACTTTTTTTTAAAGTAAACAAAACACGATTAATAGTTAAAATTTAATATAAAGGAAAATAATTAAAAATCTTATTATTAAAATTTTACCTGTTCTAGCTGATGTTAACCTTCATTTCCTCTTTCTTTTTACCGCATAACTTCTTTTTGCGTGCTAATAATTAAATAAACATTTAAACAAACTTACACAACTTGTGTTTGTGAAAAAGAAAACTTGATCCGTCGCTTCTTTGTCCTTAAGTTGAAAGGTAGTAAAGTAAAACTTTTAGCAATTATAACTAAATTAGCCAGAAATAACTATAATAATACAAGAACAAAGAAAAAAATTATAATAAAATTTACATTAAAATAATAAAAAATAATAATATTTACTAAACAGTGAAACAATTTCTAATGAATTTTAATTTATTTCAAAACAACAACTTTTCTTTTTGTTTCGAACACAAATAACACGCAAAAATAGCGAAACAATTAAAATTGGCTAAACAGTCAACTAGGGGAATTAGGAAAAATAATACTAAAATGCTAAAAATTGATTAAGAAATTTGGGCCAACTAAAACTATGAATATATACAAACAAACATGCAGTTATAATAATTAAAAGTTGAATTAGTTAATTATAGGGTGAAAGAAAAGAAGGAAAGTGTTCAAATGTGTTAATAATGATGCTAACTAACTAACTAACTAACTAACTAAACTAACTAACTAACTAACTACTAACTACAACTAACTACTAAACTAACTACTAACTACTAACTAACTACTAACTAACTAACTAACTAACTAACTAACTAACTAACTAACTAACTAACTAACTAACTAACTAACTAACTAACTAACTAACTAACTAACTAACTAACTAACTACCTAACTAACTAACTAACTAACTAACTAACTAACTAACCTAACTAGACTAACTAAACTAACTAACTAACTAACTAACTAACTAACGAACTAACTACTAACTAACTAACTAACTAACTAACTAACTAACTAACTAACTAACTAACTAACGAACTAACTAACTAACTAACTAACTAACTAACTACTAACTAACTACTACTAACTAACTAACTAACTAACTAACTAACTACTAACTAACTAACTAACTAACTAACTAACTAACTAACTAACTAACTAACTAACTAACTAACTAACTAACTAACTAACTAACTAACTAACTAACTACCACTAACTACTAACTAACTAACTAACTACTAACTAACTACCTAACTAACTAACTAACTAACTAACTAACTAACTAACTAACTAACTAACTAACTAACTAACTACTAACTAACTACTAACTAACTAACTAACTAACTAACTAACTAACTAACTAACTAACTAACTAACTAACTAACTAACTAACTAACTAACTAACTACTAACTAACTAACTAACTAACTAACTAACTAACTAACTAACTAACTAACTAACTAACTAACTAACTAACTAACTAACTAACTAACTAACTAACTACTACTAACTAACTAAACTAACTAACTAAACTAACTAACTAACTAACTAACTAACACTAACTAACTACTAACTAACTAACTACCTAACTACTAACTAACTAACTAACTAACTAACTAACTAACTACTAACTAACTAACTAACTAACTAACTAACTAACTAACTAACTAACTAACTAACTAACTAACTACTAACTAACTAACTAACTAACTACTAACTAACTAACTAACTAACTAACTAACACTAACTAACTAACTAACTACTACTAACTAACTAACTAACTAACTAACTACTAAACGAACTACTACTAACTAACTAACTACTACGAACTAACTAACTAACTAACTACCTAACTAACTAACTAACTAACTAACTAACTAACTAACTAACTAACTAACTACTAACTAACTAACTAACTACCTAACTAACTAACTAACTAACTAACTAACTAACTAACTAACTACTAACTAACTAACTAACTAACTAACTAACTAACTAACTACTACTAACTAACTACTACTAACTAACTAACTAACTAACTAACTAACTAACTAACTAACTAACTACTATCTAACTAACTAACTAACCAACTAACTAACTAACTAACTAACTAACTAACTAACTACTAACTACTACTAACTAACTAACTAACTACTAACTACTACTAACTAACTAACTAACTAACTAACTACTAACTAATACTAACTAACTAACTAACTAACTAACTAACTACTAACTAACTAACTAACTAACTAACTAACTAACTAACTAACTAACTAACTCTAACTAACTTACTAACTTACTAACTACACTACTAACTAAACTAACTAACTAACTAACTAACTAACTAACTAACTACTATAACTTAACTAACTAACTAACTAACTAACTAACTACTAACTAACTAACTAACTAACTAACTAACTAACTAACTAACTACTAACTAACTAACTAACTAACTAACTACTAACTAACTAACTAACTAACTAACTACTAACTAACTAACTAACTAACTAACTAACTAACTAACTACTAACTAACTAACTAACTAACTAACTAACTAACTAACTAACTAACTAACTAACTAACTAACTAACTAACTAACTAACTAACTAACTAACTAACTAACTAACTAACTCACTAACTCACTAACTAACTAACTAACTAACTAACTAACTAACTAACTAACTAACTAAATAACTAACTAACTAACTTACTTACTTACTACTTTTAAAAAAAAATTTAAAAATTAAAATTTTTACTCGACATATTTTAACATTTTGCAGAAAATATATGTTTGTATAAAAAAGTAGTAGAAATACTACTATTTTAAAAAGTATTGAATAGGAAAATTTTTAAGTGAAATATTGGTTTTAAATGTAGTCCTAGAACTGATGTGGGAATTTTTTCGTGAAAATTAATGTAATATGTATTACCTTTTCAAAAAAGTAGTAGAAATACTACTTTAAAAAAAAACTCTAAAAATTAGAATTTGTACTCGTAATATGTTTTCTTGTTTCATATTTAAATATTTTGGAGAAAATAAATGATTTAAAAAAAAAGTTGCAGAAATACATACTACTATTTTAAAAAGTATTGAAAATAAGAATTTTGCAGCGAAAAATGTTTTAAAGGAAGTTCTGAAAATGAAGTGGAAATTTTTTCGACAAAATTTTAATAATATTATCTTGTTAAAAAAGTATTAAAAATACTACTTTATTAAAAAAGGAGTAGAAATACTACTTTGGAAAAAAATCTAAAAATATAATTTTTTACTTGAAAAATATTTCCGAGATACAAAATTTAAATTGTTGAGGAAAAAAGGTGAAATTATTAGTAAAAAGACTACTATTTCTAAAGAAGTTAAAATTGAGAATTTTTAAGTGAAAATATGTTTTAAAAACATTTCTGGAAATCTAGTTGTGGAAATGAAATGGACATTTTTGCAAGAAAATTGTCAAATAGTGGTCTTTTTTTCAAAAAGTAGTAAAAATACTACTATTTTAAAAAGTATTGAATATTTGGATGTTGAAACGAAAGATGCTTTAAATATATTTCTGGAAGTAAAATCGAAATTTTTAGAAGAAATTTATTAAATTGGTAGATTTTCCAAAAAAGTAGTAGAAATACTACTTTTTTTAAAACGCTCTAAAAATATAAATTTCTACTTGAAATATGTTTCTATGTAATAAAATTGGCATTTTTGCTAAAAAATATTATTTTTAAAAAAAGTAGTAGAAATAATACTATTTTAAAAAGTGTTTAATATGGGGATATTAAAGCGAAATAGGTTTCAAATATATTTCTGAGAGTGAAATGGAATTTTTTTACAGAAATTTATTAATTTTTAGATTTTTCAAAAAGTAGTAGATATACTACATTTTTAAAAAACTTTTAAAATTTGATCTTTTACTTAAAAATATGTTTTTATAAGTGCTAAAGTTGATGTCATTGTAACAAAAATATAGTTTTTTAAAAAAGTAGTAGAAATACTACTTTTTCAAAAATTCTTAAATATCATAAATTTGCTTTAAAATCATAAAAATTTAAGGTTTTTGCTTAAAACTTATAGTTTTAACTAAAATACTACTTTTTCAAAAAAAGTAGTAAAAATACTACTATTTTCAAAATTGCCAAAAATGAATATTAAACTCAAATTCTAACATTTTTATTGTGTTTTAGTAAAAAAAGGTCATAAATTAACAAGAAATTTGTGTGGACTAGCAATTATATAAAAACACGTGTAACATAAAATATTCAGAAAAAACTAAAACTTTCTATATTTATATGACACAAATAACTAATACAACATTTAACACACAAACAATAATAACACAAAAAATTCTGTTGTAATTTACTAAGAAAACCAACCCTTAGTTGACTTTCGATAAAGGGAATGAATGTTGTGCTGAAAAGTTTAACACAAAACAATTTTATCAACAAAAAATAAAAATAATAACAAAACAACACGCTAAACATTAATTAATCGATTTTCTTTTCGTTTTTTTTTTCTTTACAGTTTTCAGTTTTTGCTGTTTTTTCCCAAATTCCTCTTTAACCAGGCTTTCATAACATAACCAGAGAAAAAAAAATTTACTACATAAAAGGTGTAGAAAAAAAAAAAGAAATACCCCTCCAAAGAAGAAAAGCAAAAAGTAACACAAAAACGTGTGTAAAGTGACAAAAAGAAATCTAACAGGAAGTGAAAAGAAAATATTTTAACCAAAATTCCTGCATAACACAATTTATTGCAAATAAAATCAATATATAAAAAACCTAAAAATTAGAGAAAAATCTGACATCATGTTTATTGCCCAAGAAATGAACCTGCCGCCTGCTCTTTCTCTACAACTACTTAATTAAACATAAATCTCAACATTATTTCCTGCTTTAACTTTATAAGGGTTTTATTTGTTAGACTGGTAAGTGAAAAAATTTGAATAATTTTCATATAAATCAAGTTTATTTGACCTAAAATCTTAATTCGTAGGGGAAAATGCTTAAAACCTTGAAAAATACTGTTTTTGAAAATAGTAGTAGAAATACTACTTTTTTTAAAATACCTAAAAATGATCAATCTTTGTTACAGTTAGTTTCTATTTGAAGTAAAAACATGAAAAATATAAAATTTTCGCAATTTAAAAAAAAGTAGTAAAAATACTACTTTTCTTTAAAAACCCAAAAAATAGCAAAAATAAAGTTTTCTTGTGCTTAAATATTAATTCTTATGGAAAAATGCTTAAAACCTCGAATAATGCTTAGAAATATTGTTTTTAAAAATAGTAGTAGGAAATACTACTGTTTTAAAGTCATACAAATTTTGTATTTTTGCTATTGTTACTCTCTAGTCAGTGTAAAAACTTGAAAAATTAAATAATTATCAAATTTAAAAAGGTAGTAGAAATACTACTATTTTAAAAATCTAAAAAACTTAATGAAAGACAGGTTTTCTTGTTCTTAAAACTAAATTCATGTGGTAACATGTTTACAAGCTTGCAATTTTTTTTAAAATGACTGGTTTTTAAAAATAGTAGTAGAAATACTACTTTTATAAAAATCATAAAAATTATTAATTTTAACTAAAATTACTTATTATTTAAAGCAAAAAAGTGAAAAATTACAAATGTTTTTTTAAAAAAAGTAGTAGAAATACTACTTTTTATAAATCCTAAAAGTTATGAATTTTAGCTAAAATTACTTTTTATTTAAAGTAAAAACATGAAAACATTAAAATTTTAGCAATTTTAATGAAAAATATAAAATTTTAGCAAATTTAAAAAAAGTAGTAGAAATACTACTTTTTCAAAAATCGAAAAAAAAGCAAAAGTCAAGTTTTCTTCAACTATAATCTAAATTCTTATGGAAAGCTAGTTTTCTAAAACATTGAAAATGCTTAAAATTACTAGCTTTTAAAAATAGTAGTAGGAAATACTACTTTTTTTTAAGATATAAAATTGTTGAATTTTTGCTACTGTTTCTTTCTATTCAGTGTAAAAATTTGAAAAAGAAAAAAATTATTAAATTTAAAAAAGTAGTAGAAATACTACTATTTTAAATTTAATATTTAATATATATTTCTACTACTTTTTTCTAAAATTGCATTTGTCACCAGATTTATGCATTTTTCCTTGGGCTATTAAATTTTTGTTGTAAAAGTTAATTTTCAAGCATACCATATCATTTTTAAAAAAGTAGTATTTCTACTACTTTTTTCCAAAAGTGTATTTTGTACCATATTTATGCATTTTCATTAAAATTATTAAAGTTTTGCAATGAAAGTGAATTTTTTTGCATAAAATTCAAAGTTTAAAATAGTACTATTTATACTACTTTTTTACAAAATTGTATTTTTGACCAGATTTATGCTTTTCTTCATTCAGAGTATTTAATTTTTGTGATAAAAGTAAATTTTCAGACATTTAATACCATTTTTTAAAATGTAGTATTTCTACTACTTTTTTCCAAAAGTGCATTTTAGTTCAGATTAATGGTTTTTTCATTAAGAATATTACATTTTTGTGGTAAAAGTAAATTTTCAGGCATTAAATACCTTTTTAAAAATGTAGTATTTCTACTACTTTTTTTTTAAATTATCAAAATCAATTTTTCTTGAAAACTTTAAAGGGTTAGTAAACATACAAAATTTTTATAACAATATTTTTTGCTTACAGCTGTTAACTTTTCTTACCAAATAAATAGTAGTTAGTTTGTTTTTTCTATATTTTTTTCTATAGCATCGATTTTATCAACTTTTTTTCTGTGGTTTTAACAAAACTTTATTCTCTAAAAAAAACCTCAAACTTTACAAATAAAACTAGTGAGTTAAAATAACGGAACAAAAAAGTTTGCTTACACATGCATATGTGTTCAGTTTTTGCCCCCCTTCATAATAAACTTTAACTAACGCCAAATATATTTCAGTTTTATTGTTTGATTTCTGCATCACCACCACTATCACCCCATTTTTCAAGTTGTATAAATTTTGTGCAATCGAATGTTAAAACTATGTCATTGTACAACAAAATCACAAACATTCTAAATAAAAAGGAAAAAAACACTACAGAAAATAGAATTTCAACTTTGCACCCCAAGTATTGTAAAGAGCATAGACAACCCCCAGATTTGCTTTGTTGTTTTTGTAAAGAGGAGCTAGCTACAAATGAAACAAAAAAAAAAAAAAAAAAAACAATTGAAAATTGGGGAAAGAAGTAAAAAAAAATGTTATAGAAAGAAAATATAGGAATTAGAGCAGTAAAGAACTGTTCTAGAAAGCTTTCTGTTTAAGAAAGATTAAACAAAATATAGAAAAAATTTATAAATTTCTAAACTAAACAAAAAATTAAATTGTTTAAAATAAGAAAAAATTAAGTAAAAAATGCTTTTTAGTGCATAATAAACCCTCTAAATGCCTTAAATTTGCGTAATATATGGAAACAATATTTTTTTAAAAAAGTAGTACAAATACTACTTTTTGAAAAATGTAGTTTTGAGCAAAAAAGTCAACTTATAATTTAAATTTCTTCATTAAATAACGATTTTTTCATAGAAATAGTTTTTGAAAATAGTAGTAGAAATACTACTTTTTCCAAAAAAGGTATTTTCCGTCATAAAATTGTTTTTTAAGGCATAACATTACCAGATTTCACATAAAAAGCATTAATTTGTTAATATTTTTAATATAATACACTTTTTAGATATAGTAGTAGAAATACTGCTTTTTGAAAAATGTATAAAAATAAATAATGATTTTTTCATAGAAATAGTGTAAATTGCAGTTTTTAAAAATAGTAGTAGAAATGCTACTATTTTCAAAAAGGTATTTTGTACCCTGAAATTGTTTTTTAATGACACATCTTCACTTGATTTTATATGAAATGCATGAATTTATTAATATTGTTAATAAAATACACTTTTTAGATATAGTAGTAGAAATACTACATTTTGGAAAATGTCACTTTGAGGGATAAAAGTCATTTAATTATTAAATTGTGAAATTTTCATTACAGACAAAAAAAAAAAAAAAAAGGCAAAAATTTAGTTTTCAAAAAAAGTAGTAGAAATACTACTTTTTCTAAAATGGTATTTTAGACATTAAAATGTACTTTTATGACAAAATTTTAGTAGTTTTATAAAAAAATGTAAAAATCTGATCCAAAATGCTCTTTTGGAAAAAAGTTGTATTAATACTACTTTTTTAAAAATGGTATTTTATACACGAAAACCACTTTTACAACAAAAAATTAATAGTTAAAGTGAAAAATGCATAAATCTAGTCAAAAATGTCCTTTTAGAAAAAAGTAGTAAAAATACTACTTTTTTAAAAATGTTATTTTATACACGAAAAAGCACCTTTAAGACAAAATATTATAGTTTTAACGAAAAATTCATAAATCAAGTCCAAAATGCACTACTTTTTTAAAAATTATATTTTATGCATGAAAATGTACTTTTACGACCAAAATTAATAGTTTTAGTGAAAAATTCATAAATCTAGTCCACTTTTTTAAAAATGTTATTTTATACACGAAAAAGGACTTTAAGGACAAAATATTATAGTTTTAACAAAAAATTCATAAATCTGGTTCAAAATGCACTTTTGGAAAAAGGTAGTAAAAATACTACTTTTTTAAAAATTATATTTTATACATGAAAATAAACTTTTACTACAAATATTTAATAGATTTCATGAAAAATTCATAAATCTGGTTCGATATGCAAATTTGGAAAATAGTAGTAGAAATACTACTTTTTAAAAAATAGTATTTTGCACATAAAAATGTACTTTTATGGCAAAATCTTAATAGTTGTAAAGAAAAACTAATAAATCAGGTTGAAAATGCACTTTTGGAAAAAAGTAGTAGAAATACTACATTTTTCAAAATGATAAATTTCCAATGAAAATCGATTTTTAAGCTAAAAATCGCTGGTTTTTACATAAAATGTAACTTTGTTATAAATATTGAAAAGAAAAATGTATGTAGAAAATCTCCACAAAAACATGTTCATCATCATTGCCCCTAAAAGTACACTCTATATTTTATTGTACTAAAAAATTATAAAACAATATTTTGAATCCAATAACGAAGTAACATTTTTGTTCTCCTTATATGTTTGCCTGTGTGTTAGTGTGTTTTCAATGTACAGATGTAAATGTTTGATTATTTTGGCTCTAAGCAAATATTTGTTTTCTTTTGAAATGTGATTCGTTTTTTTGCATGTGTGTGTGTAAGAGAAGTGTTTTTTGTCTACATTTAAGGTAATTTACTGGAATAATGATGGTTTTCGTATAATAAATGAATAAAACAAAAGGTATCCATTGAAATAAAAACCTAACACAGATCCATATACACCACTAGACCACAAGGTGTAGTATAATTTTACCACACACAGAGGGGAGAAGATTTACCTACACACGGTTTGCTTTTATTGTTTTCTTTTTATTATAACCTTAACTGCTATCTGCAGGGAGAAGGAAGTAGAAAAACAATAATTTGTGAGATTAAACTATTAGGGACCAAACCAGATAACTAAACAATAGACAAAATCTTGTTAAATTAGTTAGAAATCTTTGTAATATTAAACAATTTGCAATATTATTCGATTTTAGTACTTTTTGGAAAATAGTAGTAGAAATACTACTTTTTTAAAA